ACCGTTGCTAGGGTCGTTGTTATGGACGAATACATGTGGCTAGGTTTCGCTACGAAAACCCGACCGTTCAAAAATCAGGAGTAGGATTTGAACTTCTAAAAATCAGAGATATAGAAAGCTTGAATGTCATATATGTTTATATGTTTCGGCAGAAGTGTGCCGGTAATCGCTTGTTTCTGAAATATTTACTACTGCAACTTCCAGTCCTCAAGATGCCTGCAGCAGACGACGAATGCAAGAAGTATACCGTCTGCCACACGCCCGCCGGCCAAGCCGGCGCCGGTGTCTGAATCGAGTGAATAAAGACGATATTCTGATATTTCATCTGTCTGAAATAAAATGAGTTTCAGACGCTTATAAAAATTGATACTGGTGTGCGATGCAAAATATGGTTTATCGAAAGTCCGGGAGTCGATCGAGTTGATCGGCTGCTAAAAGATCGCATTGGACCCGTCAGAAGAGCACTTCAGTCGATCGCACTTCAGTCGATCGGTTTAGATCCCAAATTTTGTTTGCGGACTCGTGCTATGGGAAGGTGATTCGTACCTGGTTGTAACCATCGACTGGAGAAAGATTCTTGCAGTTTCTTCAGAATCCCGCAAGACCCCAAAGGACGAAAGAACAGGATAAAAAAAGAAAAAAAGAAAACATGAGGTGACTTTATTACAGATTGTACTTGCGTCGCGGGTTCGATAGAGATCTTCACCAAAAGAGCACAGCCACAAAATTTGATGTACAACAAGAAAAAAAGATACTGCGATATGGCGATAGACATGCAAGTCTTTAATAACCTGACAACCTCAATTATAATAATAACAAACGACTTACCTCGACGGCGTACGATTTGTTTCTCATGCCGGCCTGTACTACGCCGGTAATACACTTCAGGTCGTCGTCGTAACTGATCTGCATGGTGTGGTTTGATATTACGGCATTTTCAACCCTCTGAACTAAACTGGGTTCTTCACAAAAAAAAAAAAAAAAAAGAAGAAAACGCACATTGCGGAGGCCTTTACGACCATGGCGATGCATTTGTTTTTGTTAGAGCCATTCGATATGGCAGCGTAGCTGCCAGAGTAGCGCCACGCTTTTCCCCGTGCCGCCTCTCACCGCGATTGGTCACACGCGATACCATAGCAACGAGCTGAGCTGGCTCGGTTTCCGTAGCAACCGGGTGACGACTCGTCACGTGACCTCTCAAGAGCCGAGATGTCATCGGTAAGATGGTAGCGCCCAGAGCTGGTGGATGCGAGTTTGTTCGGTGCGCGGAGTCGTGATGCGCCGCAGCTTGCCAACGATTTAGGGCTTCTTCGTGCTTTCTGACGTAGGTATAACGTGAAGATCTGAAAGAATGATACTTTATACCCTTTCTGTGCAAGATCGCTCTGGATATTAACACCTGTGCGACAGCATCAGTAATATCGCCTTAGTGATGCTCGGGTTTCCGGATGTGTTTGAGGACCGATAAGACATTTAGCATGAACTTTTCGCATTCTCTTAGCTTTATTTGAACGTTGGAGTGTCTGAGAATCGATGCGAAATCTATGCGTCGCATGTTGGGTCTTTTGGAATTTGTTTTTGCCCCAGGTAACCGCATGATCACAAGCTTTTAGCGAGGAAGCTCCTGCGATGTTTACGTTTTGTACTAATGAACCAGGGAACCTGGGTTCAATCCCCGCCCCTGCCCGTTTCGATCTGGATGAGCATCGTACCGGCCCGCGGTTGTGTATCACTACTGCGTGGTGCACGTTAAAGACCTATAGACCCAGGCTAGCGGTTATACAGCATTGGCTAAATTGCTCATCTACAGCAGTGACTCGTCGCAACTTTGAAATGGCTGACCAACTACACGCTGTATAAATATTCACACAACTCCCAAGTATACTAATCAACGATTTTACGATATGCGCAGCGCAAGTTCGTCTGCTTCTTTTAGTAGGGGTTGTGGTGACGTCAGAACGCCGAGCTCTGATTGGTTCTGAATAAAGAATAGTGGGTAGGTTTCAAGGAAGCTTGCTTTTAGGTCTACCCCCTATCCTTCAATCGGAGCCACTCAGATCTCGGCGTTCTGATGTCACCACAACCCCTGCAAAAAGAAGCAGACGAACTTGCTCTCCACATGAATTTTAGGATAAAATTTTCGCATTTTTCTAGCTTCCTTTGAACGTCTGAATTTGTGAGAATCATAACGAAAGGTATACGGCGCGTGTAGGGCCTAGGGGAAGTTGTTTCAGCCCTAGGTCACCGAATAATCACAGCATTTTTTTAGCGAGGAAGCTCCTGCGACATTTAGCCTTTTTTACTAATCCCCAATTTTACGAATTGGCAATTCTGAAGATTTTTATATAACTTGCTTTCGTTGCAATAGCTTGCATTTGATCGCCCGCGAAAATACAATAACCACGTTTCACATGCTCGTTGTCCACGCGTAAGCTGAACACCCAGATAAGGGCCGAATAGTCGGGCACTGGTCAAGAACGAAGTAGAAGCTACTCAACCTCTTTCCACCTTTCCACCGAAGTGCCAATCAAGTTTTTCAAGTGAAAAACTGCCAATCAAGTGTTTTTCAAGTGAAAAACTGGCGTTTGCTCAAGTAACGTGTACGAGATGACATGCTATATAACAATGTATCAACACATACTATTAAACTTAAATGCTCAGAGGTGTGTTCGTCTTTATAATTAATAAGTTACAGACGTATTTATTTGTTGCGAGTATAATATTTATTTTCTGTAGCTAAGCCCGTTTTGTGCTCTTTAATGTCAATGTGCTATGACGTTATCATCATGCGTGTATGGTTCTAAATATCCTCTTTGCAATGCCTACAAAGGCCAAAATGACGTCAGCCGACCCCAACTCACACGTTGAACACGAAAACTGCGTCGCTCGGATGTATGCGCTCGTCAGCAATCAATTCGTCCATGGATATTTGAATTCGCGTTCCTGGCCAATGAGTGACCTGACAAAACGTATCACTTGCGAATGCCAAGTTCTACGGTGTGCTTAAAAAGCACGGGGAAAGCTTGGGGTCATCGCACCGGTGCCCTAGCATGCCACGACTGAGTGATTTCACAGTTTTCTTTTGAGTTGAGGATTACAGGTAAGGAAGAAGAAGTTTAAAAATAATTTTGTGGCCCCTTTAACACGGATATGTGTGCTACACCAGATAGAAATATTGACCTTTTGAATGCCGGTAAACTTCCGAACGACCATTTGGCCTGTCGGCAAGAACACCTCATATCCGACGTCCGTCTCTTGATGGCGTCAACAATTCCCTAGAGACCACCATGCCGTCCTTCTTGGTTGAACCCCGTCGACGTCGCTCCTCACCAGTCGGTGAGAAAATCTAATCTTGAAGGGATGATCGGGTCTTGAAGAAGTATGATGCTAATCATATACTCGCTCACTATGGGGCAGTCGAGCAGCAGTCATGTCTCGAGCCAATCGTCCTGTCGTGGCCGGCGTAATCGGATTCTGTTCCATTGGAGCGAAGTCCGAAAGTACTAGGACGGTACGTTCATCCCACGAAGCGACCGCCATCACGGCGGCTCCGAAAACCACTCGCCTTGTCCGTGCACGTACGATACCATAGCAGCTCTCGTCGCCCGACAGTCTCCGGTGTTATACTTCGCCTCGGTGGTCGTCGACCGAGATCCAGACAACAGACACCCGGCTTCGATCGCACCCGCGTTCTAACTGGCACGGGGCTTTTATTTGTGAGACAAAGAAGAAGAAGACCAAAACACGCGACGCCCTCCTAGCGGAGGTAAATCATTCAGTTATTACATTTCCCCACACTAATCCAAAACACACGTTACACAGTACAACAGCAACACTTCAACTTGGTCTACCAACCAGGTAATAAGTAAGCCTGTCGGGTTGCCGACTTATTCGCGTGCTGTGCCTTACAGAAGGAGCGGGCACACCAGGTTCGTCATCGTCATGACTATTGAAGTGGTTCTCAGGCTCCGAGTCCGAGTCATCTGAATTCGTGGATGCTGTCGGCTCACCGTGGTCCACCGGCGAGCTCCGTTCAGTATCAAATCCATTTTGAGATCTTGGCCTCAGGTGATCACGGTGTACAAAACGAATCCTACTAAAGACTCGCACCAAGTATGTAAGAGCACTAATTTTCTTCGTCACCTTTCCTCTTGCCCATCCCGTTTCCTCCCCTCTCACGTTTCGCGCCCACACATTGTCTCCGACATTGAACTCCCTCGGCCCTGCCTGCTGGGTGCCAACGGTCTTCTTGGCTTCATTTTGTTTTTCTCGCCGAAAAGAAGCAGAACCGGGTTTCAACAAGGCAAGGCGTGTCCGTGGCAAACGCCAAAGAAAGAGCTCTGCCGGCGTCTTCCCAGTTACCACGTGGGGAGTTGTTCTGTACTGGAACAAAAAGTTTGACAGCTTCAGCTGCATGCTCCTTTTTCCACCCCGCTCCCTGTCCTCCAGCACCTGTTTCAGAAGGGACTTCTTCACCGTCTGAACTGCGTGTTCGGCAAGTCCATTAGATGCCGGGTGGTAAGGAGGAGTTGTCGTGTGCAAGATTCCATTTTCACGCATGAAGGATCTGAACTCTTCAGACACCAGCTGTGGTCCATTATCTGTGACCACTTCCTCTGGCAACCCGAATTGCGAGAATATCATCTGCAGCTTTTCGATGGTGTGCCAAGAGGTCGTAGACGACATTAGAATGGCTTCCAGCCATTTTGAGTGGTCATCAACTAGGATCAGTATGTTGGATTGATCTTTCTGTGCGAAATCTAAGTGCACGCGTTCAAAGATCCTAGTAGCCAACGGCCAATGTTGGACCGGAGCACGGGGGGAGTTGTTCTGCGTTGCTTGACAGACGTCGCACGTTCGCACCAGATTCTCAATGGCAGCGTCTAAT